TGAAGTTTCCAGAGTGTGAGGCACAGGCAACAGACATCTAAGAATCTGTATCACACTGGAGCAAGGAATCTCACTTTCTTCTCAGCACTCAGCCTGCTGGACCATTAACATAACAAAGGAGGATTATTGACTTTCATAGTCATGATGCCTTTGATTTGAAGCTGTCTTTGATTTGGGGCGGTAGGGTTCATTGGCCCAGAGGAGCACTGGTTTCCTCCAGGTGAAGAGCATGGAGAGAAGCACGCTTTTGAGAAGAAGTAGGAAAGAACTAGCTGAAGAGGCTGAATGGAAGCTGTAATAGATGCAGTTAGTCGCTAGGAAGGACCCAAAAGCAGCCCAAGATTCTGTAAGACAATTAAAAGCAAATTGTCCGGCTGAGTGATCGGAGGGCAAGGAAGATGCTCCCCGCACTATAATTCAAGGGGCTGAATGGCCTCGAAAACTGAGAGTGGAGAGGAAAGAAAAAACAGAAGATGAGGCAAATGATGGAACAGATGTGAACGCTTTTGTTGGCAAGACTTGGAGGCTAGCGGGATGGCGATAGGCTAATTTGAGACGCATAATGCCAGGGTCCTTTCATATGCAGAACAGCACTTTGATCCAGTGTGGATGAAAGTGCTGAAAAGTGGAGAGGATGGCAGGGGGTCTTTTGTCTTTGACAAAAAAGGCATCTGCTGGGCTCTAACCTCCTTTTTTTCCACCCCCTTGGCCTAGTAGGCCACTCCAACAATGCTAGCAAAGGGGACAAGTGTCTCCTGAACAGCTGAAGAGATCTCCAGGAGGAGAATGAGGCTTGCTGCAAGATGTATACCAGAGAGCTTAATCGATTTTTTCCACAGTACAAAAAGGGAGAGGGCTGGGGGAAGACAGAGAGATCACAGTGGAAATGGGAGGTGGGAGGGAAAAAAAAAATCTCTTTATAATAAACTTGTTACTTTTGTTCTCCTAATACATCTTTTCAGGAGATGCTTTGATGCCAGTATGAATACATTTAATGGAGCAGGGTATGGTAAAGTTGCAGGGGGGATGGGGGTGGAGAGTGTGAATTAAGGAAGAGTAGGCTTGCAGGGAGGACAAATCTTGAGTGATTTCTGCAGATTCCAAAACAGGGAAGATTTCTGAATTAATACAGTGCAAGAGACCATTGGAAGATAGACACATACTTTGTTTGAGGAATTCAGCACAGCACAAATTTTTTGTTTCAATTTCTAAGCAAAGCTGAAAGAAATTTCTTCAACCTTTTCTTCTTTCTCACTAATTGGACTAATTAGAAATGAAGAACTAAACTGAGATTCGGGAAGACAGGCAGTTGCATTTGTGCCAAGCAAATACAGCAGTTGCAGATCAGCTGCTGATTTGATCCCTGCTTCTCCATCTCATGCTCTGTTGACTTTTAGCTTTTTACCTCTAGTAAAAGAGGTCCCAAAAGTCTGATGACTATGGTCTCCATTAAGTATTGCTTTGTACCTAGTCTTATGTTTTCTTTCAGAAATAATGACAGATAAGAGCTATCAACATCTGAGCAAGACCCACCTTAGCAAATTAAGTCCTTTAAGAACAGAAGGTTCAGGGATCTTCTTTCCTTTGAGATCCTGACAGTGTTTATCCGTTACTGTTTACCAAAGATAACCTTCTTCCTGGGGCACGGTTTTAAGCAACACCTGGTGCTGCTAACAGCTCTCTCTTTCTGCCTGGAAGTCACTCTTCCTCCAGGAAGGTACATGTGATGCAGAAATGAAGAGAAGCTATGACATTCCTCTGGGAGACTCTGCATACATTGATGCTAAGTTGTAATCCTATGTAGTTGTTCATGATCTCCCTTCAGCAGATGCCATTGTCCAATTCAGACCAGCTGATGTGGAGAATGTTTTTGACAAAGATGTCTCCTAACCTCCAACTATGCAAAGCTTGATGACGTGAGTTACTATAGATCATTAGGGAGGACTAATCATCAAGGCAGTCGACGCTGTTTTGATTCTTGATCATTTGTCGTATCTTGACTTTTCTGCATCCCAGTGTTCAAGCTGTGATTAAGAAGGGTGCTATGGGAGGCTGCTGCTGCTACCAGCAAGTGAGCCAAGATGACCTCTGTCCCTCACACACCAAGGTAAAAGTCCCCTCACCACGAGGTATTCGTTGTTTGACTTCACTCCCAGGTGCTGTGCACACTGATGGGATGCCAGACAAGAGCCAAAGGAGCAAAGAAGTAGCTCATGGGGAAATATGACCTGGCATTCCTTCACGGCAAGGAAGAGCAGCGCACACAGCACTGTGCAAGCTGACCAGCAGTGCTGTGGGGTCTAGGGCAACCTGCTGTGTCCCCAGGCAGTTGTGACAAGGGCAGTGTATAGGAATCTCAGCCAGTGATCTTGGGCACTTCATTTGTTTTTTGATGTGAAATATGAAGCACCTCATGAAGAAGAGTCTTCCCTATCTGGACAGGCAGGTCCTTCAGCTGCTACGATCTTGAGATTTCTACATTTGTCCAGTATAAAGTTTTCATCTGCACACCAGAAAAAAATACCCTTACTGTAGTCCAGAGATCTGTCAAAGGTTTTTGTCATGTCAGCAGTAAGACCTGGAAATCTGAAAGTTGTGGGAGTGCGTTGTTGCTATTCCCATGTAAATGTATGCAGTAATCCTTCATATCTGCAGGTAGTCATTCCAGTTTTAAACTGTGCCCTTAAGGCAGATCTGTTTAGCCATCTGCAGTTTACTGTGTGCAGGTTTTTTATTGATGGTGAATGGGCATGACTGCCTTCCAGGCTAGGTGGGTGAGACTGTGTGGAGGGGAGAGACTTAGTCTATTTCCCCTAAAGCATGAAGTGAAGCTGTAGGGAAGAGCTGTGTGGGGAGCAGAGTGTATCCTGCAGACAGCCAGCCTGGAGAAAACAAAAGCAGGAGTGCAGTCTGTGAGAGTACAGCAGAGAGGAAGGTTTGCTTCTTTTTTCTGTCTCATCCAGCAGGTTAGTGTTTTCTCCACAGATGATGACTACCCTCTGCTGGTTTGTGTTTGGATTAAGAAACAAACTGTAAAGATTGCAGAGCCTCTCTTTGTGCACTGAGACAGAGCTACCTGACCAGCACAGGAAACCTTTACGGGTCTTACTGCCACTCTGTGGACAGGAACAATCTGGTAATTGTTTGAAAGGCTGCAGAGTCCAGTAAGGACCATATTGCTTGAATGGCAAATTATCCCAATGGTTGCTGCTACAGTAATCCTACAAGTTACCTACATAATAAGCCATCCTCATGGAAAGTGGTTTTGGCTGGACTGGTTGTACATAGGAGCTTTTCCTCACGTCACCTCACAGTTTTGGCTGTAGAAGCCTTCCTTACATTTTCAGCATAGATTTGGCTTCTGCCTCAGTGAATCTCATCTGGTCGTTGACATCCATTAGAGCTTCTCTGTGTGGGAGCTGAAGCCAAACAAATGGAAAACAATGACTTCAGAGTACAATCAACTCCAGCCTCCATGAAAATTTATGTCCTGAAATAAAACAATTCCCATTTGCTTTTATTTAATTTACTTCCAAATAAAGCAAATGTCCTTTGCAATATCACCACTGGTTAATTTGATGTAACTTTCCTTAGCGTCCACTTTAAGATATTCTTGTAATGAGGTGCAGTTTGCACCAGTAGAATGAATTCTCACCCTTTTAAAAAATGTGAGATGGGAGTGAACATTCACGAGAACACTTCTGGAATTAGCATTACATTTTGTTTTGCAGATTTGGCTCAATGCACAGTGATTTGGAACCACAAGGGCGTCTTTAGCTGTAGTGGGGACAGTGTGATTTCAAGTTCTACGTACTTTTCTGGCTTGCACTAGGAAGGAGGGAATTGTGCCCATTTGTTCCTACATCTACCCTGTCTGTCCTCAAAACCCAAGGCTGTTCACACAATCTGAGTACGCAAAGAATATGTTCACTTATGTGTGGATTTCATGTTAGCACTGCAGTTCCATATTGCTTTGGATGGTGTTTGAAGCCAGTCTCCAGGAAGAGTGAATTCCACAGTGTCATCATCATACTGAGCAGTGTCATCTCATCTTGGAAAATAACCCTCCCAAGAATAATTCTGAATTGCATTTGAAGACCTCATCAGACATCCCTCAGCTGACTTGTTCTAGAAATAAATGATTATAAGCTAGTAGGTAACATGAAAGCTTGTTGCTTTCTTTTGCCTTTCAAGCGCTGATGATCTGTGCGTGTTCGTGGCAAGAGGCATTGGGGTGGCAGCTCTCTGGGTTAGGCCCTGAAGTCACCACTAAGTGGCACTGGCACAACAACATCTGAAGATGACTCCTGTCATCCTGTAAGGGTAGGACACTACTCTGGTCGTTGTTCTGGTGTATGCTCAGCTTGAGGCATAGGGAGTGAAAGCATTCATTTTTCTGGAATGCAGCTCAGTGAGGAGGAGGGAGCATCACCCAGGGGCTGCTGTCCCCAGACTGTGCCTGTGGGGAAGGTGCTGCCAGCCACTCTGACAGTTCCTGGGATGGAGGGTTGGAAGGATGTACCAAGTGACAAGGTGAAAAGTGTTTTCTGGATCAAGAAGAAGGGATGAACAAGAGCAGGCTGTACTTACCTGAGTTGTGGGGATAGGAGCCAGTTCAGCCTAGAGCTCTGTATAGGCAGGCATACTGTTGTCTAGGGGTGCAAGAGTGTCCTTCCTTCAAAGGACTGGAGAAATAAAGAAGGCCCTCCCACCCCAATCTGCACTTTTCTATCTTTTTGTCTCTTTGCCTGTAATCATACTGCAGGCAAAACACATGGAGTTATGTGCTAATTTTCTATGCTTAGGTCTGTGGGACCTGATGTGCAAATAGCTGTGGACCTGGAGGAGACCTGGGTTGGTGAAATGTGAATTAGGGTTCTCAGACTGGGAACAGTTTTGGCGAGTTCTCAGAGGTCAGCTGCGTGTCTGTGACCACCTCAAGGAGCCAGACAAGAACTCACAAGGAACTCTGTCTTTTCCTCCCTCTCCCCCCCCCCCAGGTGATCTTTGCTTTGAATCAGACTCTCTTGCAGCAGGAGAGCCTCCGAGCAGGCAGTTTCCAGATCCCCTATACGACAGAAGATCTTATCAAGCATTACAACTGTGGAGACCTCAGCTCTATCATCTTCAACCATGACACTTCTCAAGTGAGTCTTGCCACCACAGCCCTTGTACTATGCACACATCCCAGTAGCGCTAACTCCTATCTCACGCTTGTCTCCCCTCAGGCAGGCCCTTTGCAGGCAGGGGCTAAAGACACCTGACTGGCTCTCTAGTGTGTCTGCTTCCTGTGTCTCCTCCTCCAGGAGCCTGCACTAGCTCACTACCGTCTTAACGCACACAAGCAGCGAAGGCACAGCTGGCTTTTCCTTGTGGACAAATGTCATGTTTGCTTTAGCATCAAAGCTCTATGAGTTAATCCTTTATTTTCCTAGGTATCCTTTGGGATTGTGCTAACTTGGGTAGGATCAAGCTTAGCACCAACGTAGAGCAGAAGCAGACTCTTGTGCAAACAGTGATAGAGAATTGATCTCTTGACTTTTACGCTTGCGTAAGGCTGGGCAAGTTGCAAGCTTTTCAGTTTTCCCTATGAGTATGATTGCATATTACAGATAAAGTCCAAAGAAGATAAATAGAATGAAACAAAGGTAGATTTAGACTGAATGTCAAGGAAAAGAAAACTTCAGAGGCCTCACAGAATTCATTTATGGAAACGGTTCCCAAGCAGTGCAGTGGAATGCAATGCTCTGATATTTGAACTACAAAAAAATGCCCAGCAAGGACCAATTTGGCCTGTTGACGCTGTCAGATAAGTTAGGCTCAGTCTGAGACATCAGGCATCTCTTTATTCATGTGTGTGAGGTACTGCCTGGCAATTCATGCACTTCAGTGAAAATGTTGCTCTAGCCTGGCAGCGCTGACATAGTGTTGGTATCTGAGCTCTCCCTGAGGAGTATCAGTTTTCCTATAGGCTTTTGATATGTATGGTGCAGTGCTACAGAGCTGGAAATACCATCATACTAACCCTTGCTTCTCTGGCACTGCGCTTTACACGTGTGTTTTACCTTCCTGTCCTGTACATCCTTCAGCCTGCCAGTGCTGGCAGCCTGGTCATTAATAATGCTCAGCTCTTCACAGTGGGTTTCATTCATAAATTTGAAAGGGCTTCTCAAAGGAGGTTAGCACTGTAACAACGTACAGATGCTACATCAATATTCTGCTAGAGTGTCATGGACTGCAGACAGCTGGCGTTGCCTTGAGGGTCTTGGAGAGAACAGCTCTTGCCAAGACATGCACGTCCCTTAAGAAGCAAATGCCTTTTCTTACATAAGAGGCCTCTACACAGGGCAATTGAGTTGAATAGTAATAGCCTGAGATTCCATCAGGTTACACTGTTAAGGAGAACTCTGTCATGTGTATGTGACCCTGTGCTTGACTAGTAGATGTCCCATTGCGGACTAAACAACCTTTTGCAGCAGGTGTTGATAGATGATGAGTCAGAGCCTCAGCAGGTGCTGCATCTTTGCAAAGGAAAGTACCTGGCTTAGTGGCTCTTTTTCCCCAGGAGCTCCCTCTTGCAGACCCTTTTCTTAGTAGTCTCTGTAATTGCAATGTCCAAAGCTACTTACAGAAGATTCCACAGTGGCTGCAACTCAGAACATTCAATTCTCTATACTTGCAAGATGTTGCAGCTCCAGCTGTCCTGGGAGCCCCAGAAGATGAACACAGCATTTGAAAAGATACCTTGATGACAGGAAAACTAGAGCTGGTTAAATTGCATTTTCTGACAAAATCTGGTCCTCCTTCTTTTGGAAAATTTTGGGATCTTTATGTTAATTAGTTAAGAGTGCACACATTTTTTTGACAGCCCCAAGGGTCTGAAACCAGTCAAACTCTCCTAGAAAAGTGTAATTATAATTGTGTCATACCCATGGTAATTTCAGGAAGAGTTACATAGGTAAAGATAGTCAGGGAAAAATACTTTCTTCAGCCAAACAGTCAGGACTTGAGATCAATGGTGTGAAAAACTAAGAGTGTTTATTCACTTTGCATAAAATAATGATTATAGTCTGGCTCACTTATGAAAGGATGTGTTGAGAGAAAAGGCATTATGCATCAGTATAAGTCTGTAGAGTTGTTTTTTGGCCCTCTGTGAGTTTTATCCTATTGGAATGTGTGTTGAGAAACAAAGCCATTGCCTCAATGAATGATAGAGCAAAATGCCTGTGTGTGCTGGCTGTCTGAAATAAATGGCCCTTTTTTGAGGACTTCTTGTTTCTTTCTGTCTTAGGTCCCAAATTTCATTAATGCTACAATGCCAGCCCATGAGCGTATTACTGCCCAAGAGATAGACAGCTACTTCCGTCAGGAGCTCATCTACAAGCGAAATGAGCGAATGGGAAGGAGAGTGAAGGACCTGCTGGAAGAATACCCCGACAAGAGCTTCTTTTTTGCATTTGGAGCTGGTATGTGATTGAGGTGATCTTTAAACTAATAGCATTCTTTCCACATCCATTAGAAGCACAAGTGTTTGTCTCTTGGTTCGGAGAAGGATCAGTACTTTTTCTGTGGTAGACACAAGACACAGCTCTGTTCTGAGAGTTGTGTAATATTAGCAGTGCTTTCTCCAGTATGCATAGAGCTTGTGCTATGCGTTGATTACAAAATTTAATAGTTTCTTGTTTTTTGTTTGTTTTTTTTTCTTGTACACAGTCATTGATACTGAAGCAACTGTAGTGCTTATACAAAAGCTCTTACTTATAGACTCTTGCCAACCAAGGCAGAATGTCAGAAGTACAGAGCTGAGGTGAAAGGTAGTAAGAGGTCACACCAGTAATTGAACAAACCTTTCAAGAGTCCATCCAAAAGAATAATGTGCTACAGGATGTGAAACTGAGAGACCCTATGAATAGAAGGAGAGAGGCACGCTTTCACCTTTCTCTTTCTACTGCAGTACCTCCTTCACTGTACTTTCACAGCTAAAGGGAATTTTGTCTCTGTTTTGGAGCAGAATGTTTTCTCATCTGGAGGAAAAATACTCCATCTGGCTCTTAGCAGCCAGCAGAAATCTATAGGCAAATGGAGTGGCATATCCAGCCTGGTAAGGTTAACACTTGTGGTTTAGACTAGCAGTGTATGAAGAGTGTGAAAAGGATTGATCTGCCATGACTGTCTTCCTTTGTTCTAGCTCCAAGAAAGTGAAAAAGAGAGGATCCAGGCAGGTTCTGATTCTATGGAGTTATGCATTTTGTCCACTATTAGCCATAAGGTCTTTAGGAGACAGGGAGAACTGAAAGTGTTATCTGGATCCATGTGATGTTTTTTGGTTTCAGTGGCTACTACTTTGGTTAGGATGAAAGATCTAGGAATAGTAAGGAAAACATTTACTTGAAGAGTGTAAAAATATTTCTATTTGAAGTCTGTGAGAATGTCCTCACTTGCAGGAGGGAGCTGTGGTTACAAACTTAACAAGAGTCCTGTGTATGAGAGCAGGGAGGTAATGACATGTGACTGATAATGTCAAGGCATGCATGAAGATTATAATGTGTTATCTTCTTGTGGTATCACTCTGCTCTGTGCAAATCCCTGTCAGGAATCAGGCACAGCTTATGTAGATCTTGGTCTCTGAGTTAAGACTAGGGCTTTGCTGTGTACTCCAGTAGCTAATGTGGTTCTAATGCTTGTCCCTACTGATCTGAAATCCCTCATTAGCATATACATCTGTCCTGAGTGTCACCTGCATCAACTGAAGATAGCCAGTCCTCTGAATGCCTATTTTAGTAAAGCAGAGTTAAGATTTGCACAGCATTCTGCTGCTGCATTACTGCCTGGAGCCTTCAGCTCATATGAATATGACCCGTGGCTAATGTGCACGTGGCTTGCTTTCCAGCCACCAGGCATGCTTTTTCAGCATACTTCTGAATCCAGATAGGTTCACTGTCTTCCCCGGGAGCTCTAGATCTGCTCTGAAGCTGTCTGTAATTACACTTTGGTTTTGCTACTAGACTGGCCTCTATTCTCATCTGCTCTTCTAAATAAAGATAATACTCTATAATACTCTTCTGAAAGGCACTGCCAGCCTCCCCTTCCCCTTTTACATTGGGGAATTAAACACTAATATGTGTGGATACATGTGAGCAAGAGGTCTGTTATAGGAACCCGCTTTTAACAGGACAGTTCTTCATTATCTCCTTGTTTGTTTGCATCTGGGTTTCTTCATTTGTTTTGTATTAATTGCCTAAATGACAGAATATAATGCAGGAAACAAATCAATTTCTATACAGTTCTGAGATATTCTAAGCCCACCTTGCAGATTTCAGGGCAGGCTTTGGTTTTCCAGCAGGCTAGTGTAGTTTTTTGCTTATCCAGATTGCTGTGTGATAGGTGATTCTATGGAAGATTTATTTTAGTGCAAGCAAATGATGAACTAATAAATTGTGCCAAGTTCTGAGCATTGCTTGATTCTGTGCTTATGTTCAATTAGTGGAAAAAGGCTCCAAGAAAGTGGTAGCACAGGACAGATTAGAATGAGTGGCAGCAGAACATAGAAGAAGAAAATAGAGTAAGACTGTAGGAGTAATCGCTGCATTGTGATTTTCCTTCTTTTGGCCATCAGTGAAAAAAATATCTCCCAGCAGTGACTGATAAATTGCAGGACAAGATTGTGTTAAATAGTAGTAGGATTTCAAAGGATTTATGACCAGATTTTTCAGCAGCATATTATTTGTCTTTAAAAGGGATATGCTTTTTGCAATAAAAGTTCATTTTTTCTGTTAATCAAGCGTCATTGAAAAAACACTTTTATCATCAATTATATCCAGACAAGGTCATGGTTTTTGGATGTCTGAGGTATTACAAATACCTCCTAATGTATGAAATACTCTTGGCATATATTTTTATTATAAATGAGGGAAAATCAGACAAGGCTGATTCCTTATTTTATATGCCAGGTGGCTTAATGCATGTTAGAGATGTGTAATGCATTTTGAAAGAAAAGCTGATACATTTTTTCAGGTCCTCATCTATCTGCATGACTATAGATGTTGATTTCTTACATGGAATTATATGTGGCAGTTTGCACTGAAGTTGATTTCCTTGTTTAGCCCAATGTATTTTATGTTCTTACTAGATTTCAGTAGGTGATATACACTCCACCTATGTTCTGTTTAAAGCACCTCACAACCAGGGTATGCGTTTAGAACTATTTTTGTTTGGAAGTAATTTAAGTTTACACAAAAATAAAGAAGACAAAATAATAGATTATGCTGAAGCAATCCAAAAAACTTTGCTTTTTGCCAAAGTGGAAACATGGAAAGTTTCAAGTCCATCGGTGGGAATTACAAAAATGTATGTAGAGAGGGTGCAGGTAACTTCTGTGACATTCCATTAGACTCAATAAGGATTTTGTCTTAATTGTGGACAGGGCTTTTTATACTTAGACAACATTTAGAGGTAACAAGCCAGACTTACTTACTGTTGCCTGTAGAACTAGGGGATAAAGTCACCTATAATTTTAACAAGCAGTCTTTCTTCTTTGTTCAGTTTTAATTTCTCCGAACTTTATGTAGAGCATTCAAGATTTGAATGCTAAACCAAAGTGACTGGTGGCATTTTTTAATCCATTATCAGCCAATTTAATAGCAGTATAGGTTTATGGTTTATCCAGAGATGCAAACTGACATAGGTAGAGGCTACGTATTTCCACTGTACTGCAGAGTTCTAGCACTTGTACTTGATCAATTACAAGGGTGCTGCCTGCTACTGAACCATCACAGAACAACATAGTAGTTGAGACTGGCAGGAGATCATCTGGTCCAACTCCCCAGAGCAGGGTCATTTAGACCAGGTTGCCTGCATATGATCAGATTCTGAGCATCTCCAAAAATGGAGACTCCACAACCTCTTTGGGCAACTTATTCTAGTATTTAACTTTCATAGTAAAATAGCCTTTTCTTATGTTTAAGTGCAATTTTCTGTGTATCCTCTTGTACATTGCCTCTTGTCCTTCTAAGTGCACCACTGAGATAAGTCCTGTTCCATCACATGGGAGGTCTGCTGCCTCCCAGGGGTCCAGGTTAAAGATGTAAGGAGGAAACTTCCTTCCCCAGTTTGGCCCTCTGATTATTATCCTCTGTTGTTGTTTCAGGTAGGCAGTGATGAAATAGGAAGAACTTCCCTAAGGGCTATGAATAAGGACTTCAGAGCCTTGGGGTGACTGGTCAGGGATTTGGGAGCACAAGTCATGTTCTCCTCTATCCCTCCAGTTATAGGGAATGATGAGGGACTGAACACGATGTGCCAGCAGATTAATACTTGGCTCTGAGCCTGGTGTACCCAGCAGGGGTTTGGGTTTTTTTGACCTCGACTCAATTTACATGAGGCCAGGCCTGCTGGCAACCAATGAGAAAAGCTTATTCTACCAATGAAAAGGGGTTTTACGATGGGAATTGGGAAGGTTCATTGACAGAGCTTTAAACTAGGTATGTAGTGGGGTGGGTGTAAAACCGGGGTCACTAGAAAGGACCCTGTATGTAACATGCCAGTGCTTGCAGAAGGGGATGTGCTAGTATGATCCCACAGTTTTGTGTCTTGGTGAAGGAGGAGGATGACACACCTTTTTGTAGGAAAAACACAAGGGTTGATGTGAGGTTGGTTACTACGGAAACACCTTAGTATGATTAAGAGGGTATTAGGGCTTCTCCCACTCAAAAGGTGGCCCAGCTCAGGTGTATTTACACTAACAAACACAGCATGGGTAACAAACAGAAGGAACTGGAGGCCGTTGTGCGGTTGGAAAACTATGATATGGTTGCCATGATGGAAATGTGGTGGGGTGACTCACACAACTGAAGTGCTGTGATTGATGGCTACCAACTTTTCAAAAGAGATAGGCAAGGCAGGAAAGGCGGTGGTGTAGCCCTCTATGTTAAGAAAGAATGCGAATGTATGGAAATCAGTATTGGTGATGATAAGGTTGAGAGCTTACGGGTCAGAATAAAAGCGAAGACCAGTAAGACTGACATTATTAAGGGAGTCTGCTGTATTCCACGCAGCAAGGACAAAGAGGTAGATAAGATACTTTATAGACAGATGGGTAAGGTCTCAAGGTCTCTACCCCTTGTTCTTGTGGGGGACTTCAACTTCCCAGACATCTGCTGGAATTATAATACAGCAGAAAGGGAACAGTCCTGGAGGCTCCTAGAGTGTGTGGGAGATAACTTCCTGACACAGCTAGTAAAGGAGCCAACAAGGGGCAGCAAATCCTGGACCTGCTGTTTGTTAACAGAGAAGGTCTTCTGGGGGATGTAAATGTTGGAGGCAGTCTAGAGCAAAGTGATCATGAAATTATAGATTTTTTTATCCTTATTGAGTCACAGAGGGGAGTCAGCAGAGTTGCCACCTTGGACTTTGGAGGACTTTGGTCAGTTTTGGACCATGGTTGAGAGAGTCCCTTGTAAGGTAGTTG